AAGACACGTTTGGTACAAATGTTGAACTATCATTTCTATAGAATGAAACTGTAAACAGACGTCCCACGATGAAAATGAAGATTTATGTCGGGAGAGGTTTAAATGGACCATTAGGTGGCTTCGCACAGCAGGTGCGTTTGCGGATGATTTACGATAGACGGATTGAATCTGTTAAGGGTCCGCTACTGGAATTTTCCGAGTTCGTTTGGGTCCCAGGTAACCAATCTGTCTGTTGTAGAAATCATTTAGTCACGTAAATTCTTTCATTGGGCGCGCTACCTGGGGGTTCTAGACAGAAAATGCCAGTCATACTCAAATCGTTCGTCTGCTACCCTCCGAAAGGGCCAACGCTAACAATATCACCTTTGATAAATTCTTTGAATAACTCGCAAAGAGAACGGTACAAAAATATTGTTATTACCACAAACAAGAGGAAGTATAGTGTGATTATAATTCGTACATCTTGTATGTAGTATTTTCTAACACATGTGCATTTTTTGCAACCACATTTATTTTTTATGATTATATATTTATTTATTTCATCATTTATTATTTTTATTGTGCATTTTAAACAACTATCTTGCTTTTAATCACACGTGGCGGCTCACGACTAATGCGGTGGTTATCTCGCGTCATCGGACGTCGGGTTTGTCGCGAGAGACAATCGTACGCAATTCTCGACTTTCCGCGGCACGATTTCGCGCAGCACTTCCATGTGTCCGGCGCTAATTAACGCTCCGGAAGGCGAGCTTCCCGTCTTCCGCCACTAATCCAGAGTCGTAAAGCCCGTTTCGCTAATGCCCCAGCGACTCGAGACTTAACGGGGTGCCTCGCCTATTCTCTACCACCGAGACAAACAGCGGGCGAGGGTACATCGTCTAAGAGGGTAGGCACTTCCGGTCAGCTAGCTTCCTGCCAGTCGCGTAACTTACCTCGGCTCGGGTCGGAAGTTGCTTCAACGAAACGGTTCCATTCAGGTTTAAATTTACCGTTTCTTGGTGCTGTAACAATTCGAAGTTAAGATTCTAGGCCGAAGGACTAAGAATACGAAGATTCGATAAGACAAGCTGAATTGATTAAAATCGTTTCTCTGTCCGTGCTACCAATAAATGATTCGAAAAAAAATAGTGCTCATCGGAAAGACTCTTAAAGAGTAAAAATAATTTTAAAAAATTGTTTAACTCTGAATTAAAAAAAAATTTAGCTTCGTTGATATAATCAATCATTAAAGTATTTTGCATATCTTATATCTAGCATAATTTTTTTGTAATACGACTTTTTAAAGCTCGACATTCGACATTTTCGGACTAAAAGGGAACGGAGATGCATCTGATAATTGCATTTTTTTTATAAATAATTCCAATCCGTTTCGGCTGCGGGACTCGTCCGAGAAAGTCATGAGAACGACGGAAACGACACGCTACTTCCGCGTCTCTTCGCAGGTCTTCCGAGATGCTCGCGTGAGAAAGTCTCAATCTAATAAATTCATGAAGGAACGTCGTACGGTCTGGCCGCCCGCGTTCTCACAGGCCTTCGAGAATATCGAAGCGATTCCTACGGTTTCCGTGTGATCTGCCGACCGCAAATAGCGAAACGGTAACGCCAGTGCGGCCTTGCGTCTCCGTCAAGATCAAGCAGGACGCGTCTACCACGGATTGTGTCGTAAGGTACACGCAGCCTACCACGAACCGAATATCAAATCAAAGCAGATTTACGTAAGTGAGACGGGGAGATCGCCACCGGGGCGCCTCTCATCAGGATTTAAAACCACAAACGCAATTTGGAGCGAGAGATTGCAGTACGTCGAGTCACACTTCTCGGTGCATTCGCTATAGCTTGCGAGATACTGCATCTGCACGAAGGTGAACGATATTGTGTGTGATACACAACGTGATATCTTGTCTATATTAACCTTTTACTGTCTACGAGAATCTAACTATGTGAAATTCTCAATATTAACAAAATAAGTTCACATCTTTTAAGCACAATTAATTCTAATTAATTTGTGTCATATAACATAATAATTTCCGTCTGGCATATTTTTTTACAAAGTTTCTCGATTACGTCGGTAAATACAGGATGTCTGATAATTCATGACATACAAGTTGTCACGCACAATCGTACACCAATTTTCTTTAATTAATAACCAAAAATCTACATGATTATTTGCAAAATGATAGAGATGTATGTGTTTGTTCATTAGGTCAAATTTACGTTTGTTCAGTTTGATCTAATATACAAACACACGCAACTGCAGATGCCATCACAGCTCATCTATCGTATCGCTCGTGATTACTCATCAATCTTTTTTATTTAATAATTCAAAATTTTACGTGGTTGTGTGCGAAGTGGTAGAGGTATTTTGGATTCAATTTGACGAGTTCTACCTGTACAGGATGTGTAAAATAAATATTGGTAGACGATATCGGCAGTTCATTGACGGACCAACGTGTGTGAACACCGCCTAATACGCGTACAGATCATTCGGGCCATGAATGAAATCGCGCGTGGCGCATCCTCCGGTGGTGGGAGCTGACGTGCGCGTGTAGGTGGTAGCACGCGATTCAGGTCGTGCCGAGCAACGTGGCGTGTGGGAACGATGCAGCAGGGAAAACGCGTGCACCACGAGAAAGAGAGACGCGGGAGAAGCGTAGGCGGAGTCGTTCACAAGCATCGTCGCTCGCACATGCGCCTTATTAAGGTGCCTCCCACAACGATCGCGACTCGAATCCGGAGAATTCGTTGCACGCCAACGATCGTCGTCGCTTGTCGTGTACTACACGCGCGATTCCGCCAGCGATAGCAAGAAGAAAGGCAAAGAAAAGGAGGAATAAATTCGAGCATTGTTCTCTCAACGGGATTCCGCGGAAGGTTCGCTGTTAAGGGTGAAAAATCGAGAAAGTACCGACGTAATCGCAGTCATTTGCGAGAACTGGGGAATGCTCAGACGTGCGTGCCTAAGAGACGATCTCTAAAGCCGGCGTCTCTCCTTTTTGCGAGAGACGGTCTCGCTTCGATGGGACAGATCGCACGGTTTTCGTACCGAAGATCGAGTGAACTCGTTTGCATGATTCGGTCCACTTCGGCGATTGATCGCGCCGCGGTGACACCGCAAACTATAAAAGTAGTTAGAGCGTCGGCGACAAATCTGTAAACGGTCACCGCAAATGAAAAATGTCATGTCGCAGTGTCTGGTTAAGATAAATAAAGTTTAAACGTAATCTAATTTTTGCACATGATGTCGCTATTTTTTGTCGCGAGTGACATAAATTACACAATAAATTCAAGATTTTGAATTGAAGCAGAAATACTCGGCGCATCTCCTGCTTGTGATTAGAAAGAGCACTCCCGATGTGTGCACGGTGACGTAGGAGCGCGTCGCTATGTTTGGGAATGCGACGCTTTTTCATCGTGGAAAAGAATACACGTCACCGCAGGAATCACGGGGAATGACATATCGATCGGGGCACCGGAGGTGGCGAAACGTGCTCGCAGCGAGAGAGGAAATTGAAAGAGAACGAGAAACGCGTCGAGGAGGACCACCTAATGCCGCGATCGCAATGAGATAAATAATCGCGATGGGTGGGCGCTGGCGCCTTTCTGGGTACGGCACGGGTTATGGGTCGCGCACCTTATGGGTCCCCATAGGGAGTCGTGCTCCCATAAGGTGGTACAGAGCTCCAGCCGCGTGTGAGAATCCATTCCGCGCGATTTCACAGGAGTCGCGGGGGGCTCCTCTCTCTTACTCTCCCTCTCTTTAGCTTTTCTTTCTCCGCTTCCTACTTCTTCGTGTTTTTGAAGTCTATTCTGAGACCCTAGGCGTAAATTCAGACCACCCAGAGACAAGGGATGGCTATTAGCCCGCACCAAACGCGTCTCTATTTAACATCCATTAAATTACTTCACAGCCATGTCATTCTTAATGCACGATAATTATTATAATTCCAAATTATTACTCGGAAATTTTATGATTTATTATTGCCTTTCTTGTTTGATTTTTCTCACCTGAAAACATGTGACGTTGAAGTTTTAATTTAACTATAAATAAGAGGTGAGCAGAGTTTTGATTCTCGTTAGCTCGCAAGATTTCTCTGGACAAAGTGTACACTCATTTTCTACAGCGCTAACTGGCCGATAACGGAACTCCTCCGTGGTTGAATACACCGCTGAAAGTTTCCTGACCGGGGCTTTTGTGGCATTAGCCGCGGGTATCGAGTCGTATGAAATCGCGTTGAATTCGACAAGCGAACGAGCTCGATTGGTCGCGCGAATCGCGACGTTGTTGAGCGCGAGGAGCGGAACAGACAGAAAAAGCGTTCGTACGCGATTTAGATGAACAAGATGGTCATTGTAAAGTTCCCCTCGTAGTGTCCTAAGTGGTATGCAATAAAGAAAAAAAAATTATTTGCCTATATACTTAACGCAACTTCTGAGTCCAGAAGAGATTATTACACAAAATCATGAAAAGTAAGTAACATATTTTTTGGTTTAAATCGCCCGTTAAGACCAATCCAACGTCAGTCCTTTCCTCGCTTGAATCTCTCGTCTCTCACAACTTTCTCATAAAAAATACCGTCTCGAGGATCACCCTGAAGCGCCATTGAGTTCACGTACGTGGCAGGCAGCCGACCCTCGCGAATCCTGCCGAGTCGCGCACGCGGCGGCGAAGCGACGTGGCCGTTCGCCGTGTCTCTCGCCGTGTCTTCCGCGACGCTCACTCTTCAGGGTCCGCGAGCGGAGGTGGTGGATTAGGTGGAGGAGCCGGACGAGAAAGGTTAAATAGGTGTCTGGTGGTGGTCCTCGAAAGGTGGGTGTACTCGTTAGTGTGTGATCCCGCCTACCGTCCAATGCGGTGGCTGGTTTCCCAAGGGACTCCCTGGTCTCTCTCGTGCGGCTTTTCGAGGTCCCTTCTCCCTCCTTCTTCCTGCCACCGCTTCCCTCCGTACTATAGTGTGAGGTGGACTTCTGTGTACGTGTGTGCTGGCTGGTGTACGTGCGCTGGCGCGTGTACGTGTGTTGCTTTGCATCGCGCGCGATAATAGTCAACGGGTGGGACCCCCTTAACGCGCGCTCTCCTCGAGATCGCTCGAGATGCCGGTCGTCTGACGAGGCCCGCCAGTCCACGGAGCATCGCGATCGACGGTGGATCGATCGTCTACCTGAGCGATTCCGAGCCGGAATAATCACCGTTCAGCAGGACTTTGGACTAGCGTTTGGGAAAAACCTGTCAACAGATATCAGCTGTCGCTCATCCAGATCATTGACCAGACGGAACTTTGTCTAAAAAAACCAGAGTTCTCTAATTTGCGACCTGCGGTGAACCGAAAATGAATGGTGTCGAGGATACGTATTAAGGACGCAGCGTGAAATAGTGCCTTCACTCGTGATCGTCGGAAGTTTATTATTACACGGATTGATTTGACATCCACAGTGACACTTGAACGAACTATTGGTCGGTGCGACATCTGAATCGATATCTTACTGTGAGTTGTCAACTCTGTTTAACGAAGCTGCCAACCGTCTTATTGATCTTATCCACAATAGTCCTTAACTTTGACTTGAGCTCCGGCTGACTTTTCGATGTTGATTAAATACGATGACATTCCGATAACGATGACGAGTTTTATTTGATGATTGATACACATTAGAAGGGTGAAGTGCGTTTCCCGGTGAGAAAGGTCGATGACCGATCAAACGTAAGAACTAATCAATAGTGAATACCGGCGTATCAACGAACTTTCAACTTGTTTGGCGGACTCTGGAGCAAGATGCTGTTCAAAGGCAACAGTTCGCGGTTGGAACTGCTGATAGGCAAGATACAGGCGCACAAGGAACCGTCGCAAGACGAGCAACACAAATCCAAAGGTCCGAAGATAACTTTACTCTGTCTCTGTCTTTCTCTCTCTCTCTCTCTCTCATCTTCTGCTTCTTGTTAAATCTCTTCTCTCTTACGTTTCCGTCTGATTTTCACTTACTTCAAGTCGCGGCGGTTACTACACTTTTCCACAAAGTTTGACGTCGTATCGCCGCTTCTTCATCTCGCGACTTTTTATTCATCCCATTCGCTATCACTAAACTTTACTAGATTCACGCGAAGAATTTCCTGTCAGATTTGTAGATGTAAATAAAGTCAATATTATTATCAAGTTTCGATATTTACGTAAGCAACCAACAATCGTAGCCATCACAAATACAATAAATGTGTATAGAATAAGAATCGAGAACTGAAAGTGCGATATCATCTTTCAACAGCTGCGCTCTCAGAATTTTTATTACGCGATAATGATTCCCGAGAGAGCTGTACTTATATAGAGTAACGTCCGGTAATTTTATGATTGCTCTGAGAGTAGTAATCATAAAAATTATAAATATCTTTGTTTTACTTGATTGCATTTTATGTATGAATTATTTTCACGAGGAAAGTATAAATGAAAGATGGTTAGAATATAATGAGTTAGAATATAATAAATTTATAGACGCTCTTATTTTGCTTTAAACGTCGACGTATTTTCCGTGACTATCGTTCGTATTCTAGCGTTTATTTCTGGTGTACTGCCCTGGTCAAAAGTCACTGACTAATTACATATTATTTAGTAGACACGTGCCGAAATGTCACGCTGTCAGAGATGCGCAAGCTTTAACGATTCGGCACGTCACGTTACATTATTTATATTCTATCAACGAAAATAACGTAAAATGAAATGAAATTAAAGCGAAATAATCAGAATTAATATAAATCGGACAAGATAAAGTTACGATATAATTATCTGTGACCTAAATAATGTAAACTTAGATGCGAATTATCGAGTTACATTCATATGATTAAAATTGCGAGATTTGACGCCACCTGGGGTAAATCCATTTAGTCAGGACATACTGAATTAAGTAAAGCCTTTCGCTTCCGGTATTTCTTCTCGTCTAAGAATTTTCGGGCTCTCGCAGGCGCGAAGTCCTCAAAGGAGTCGCCGGTTGCGTGTAAATTGAGCCTGGCGAGTCAGCGTGAAATATTATTACTCGCGCGACTCTCCCTCTGACAAATGTTCATCCTTGCGCGATAAATATCCCATCTGTAGTCACGCGCGCGCTCGCGCACGCACACGTGTACACACGCCCTACACCTTATACACCTTTACGTATGTCGCGATTGATGACGTTCGCCAAGAACAAGTTGATACAAAATGGCCTTCTGACGAGCGCGCTATTAAACTCTGTCGCCGGTAACAGCGGCGATAATTTTGCCGCGTAATTGCGAGTAGACAGCGCGCGAATATTCATCGCGAGACGCTGACCGGTGTCAAGCGCCAATGTCAATGTTCGAATCGGTCACGCATGAAATCTGAGTGTTCCGCGATTGGTGCAGTGGTATCCCGCGGCGGGTTTTCGCTAAACCGCGAGATCGGGATCTTGGAGAATATCCGAGCGAACACTTCGCGCGATAAACACCGTATTTATTTTATACGTTTGCGGGAATAAGTCGCGACGTTATGTCGAAATTGCCGTCACGATTAGAGGCTGAAAAGGTTTCAAAAAGAAAGAGTAATTCGAGGGGAGCGCGTCGTCGCGAGTTCGCGCTGCGCTACGCCACTGGCACGAAAATCCGCGCGAGGCGGACGCGCGTTGGGACGCGCGGCCCAACATAAGTCACAATTAACGAAGGCGTTAAGTCGGGCCCCTATTAATAAGCGTCGTCGAAGCGTCCTATAAATAGTCGGCGGAGTGCGAGGCGACAACAGCACCGTCAGCGAGACGCGAAACGATGCGACGCGTCTTCGGCAGGTCGCGCGGCGCAGGAGGAGCACCGCGCCGCTAAATGCGCCTATTTTCGCCACGATGACACACCGCCGCCGATTGGACGCGATCGCGAGCTAAATAAGAGCCCTCTCGAACCCTTGCCCTCCATCCGACGAACAAGTCTTTCTTCGGCACCTCCCGCAAGATACCTCCTGATTTCCCGCTCTTCTCTCTTGGCACGAACGCGAAAACGGACAATGTATCATGGTGTCCGTAGGTCAGTTAGACGCTTTCAGGATTATCTCGAATCGAAGATGCCTTGGGAATTCTTAGAAATCGCTCGTTAACAAGTTAGTGTCTAAATTGCAGATGACGATAATGTTAATCGCACGCTTGATTATTTGTCCTCGCAAAGTCCTCAGAAATTTTATAGTTATGAATTTCTCGCAGAATTTGAGTAGAATGCTTCGAATAAAAACTTCCTTTAATAAATATATCTTAAATATTTAAAGTTCGTTAATTTTTATCGTTAGGTACACTGTGATAACTCAATCTTGATGGATCAGTTAGGCAGTACGTACATTACGCCGTTATCTATTTATAACCTTGTAATTTAATTTGCCAAAAAGCCTAAACGGAATGGCACCTAGATGCACCTGGCCGCCTTCTCCTCCTTTTCCTCTTCCACTAGCACGGTTTATATTTATTGTCCGCGCGTTGATCGGTCGCGTTCCTCCACACCCAGACAGCCTTTCTCCAACGCGGCTCTCAGCACCCCCGAAGAGACATTAGAACGCATGAGTCAGTCGCGGTGCCAATTGGGCGATCGCCCCGAGATAGGTGCGCGCATGTTGCGCAATCTGAAGAACATTCTACCGCAATCCCTTGGGATACCAACTACGAACGTCGTCTACGTGATAAATTCGTATCCTCTAACTCTTTCATTTCATTAAGTTGTTAGTCATTTTTCACTTTTCTCCAATACGAAATCAATTCATTATTATAATTCATTGTTATAATTACCATATTCGTTTCGGGTCAATGAATTAGTGCGTCAGAAAATGCCGTCCTTTGACCACGACAATGCGAGTTACGCAATGGATATTCGCGATTTCGTCAAATTAAAGACACAATTGCCTAAATTTCGAACTCCGGGAAATTGCGCGGCATGTTCGTGGTTAACGGTAATTTGCGCGCAAAAGTGGCGCTTGGGCGATACGGGGACGTCCTTCTGGGAGAGGAAGAGACCAAGCCTCGAGGATGACGTGTGGGTGGAGGATGCGAGCCATTTGCGCAGCATCCGAGACGACGACGGTGTCCGATCGCCTCTCGTCTCTCTGGGTGGCGCTCTCTGTCTCGCGCGCGTAGACGGGATTCCGCAAAATCTCTTAAATCGACTCGTGGGTGTCGATCCATCGCCGGGGCCGACGACAAATGAGGAAACGGCCAACTAGCCGAGTCATTTCCACCGTTTACGAGCAGCGGCGACGGCGACGCGCGTTACTTCTCTTCTATCTCGAGTCGGTGGTGTGGGAGCTAGTCCTCAATTCCCGGCAATTATAAATTATTCGTGGCCGGCGTGACTTCGCCGGAAGAGAGACACGCTCTCTCCCCCGAGGAGAGATAGTTCGGATTTTCTGTGACGAAGACGCGGCCGCCCCTACTTGACCCTTTGCCCTAGACTCATTTGACGTTTTGCGACCGGGGTCACCACTTCCGAATTGTTCCACGCGTCTTGAAGGTGTACCGTTACAATACGCAATTTCCGCTAAAGTACGGAGGAACTAACTTACGTGACTCAAGAGCATACGTTATCCTGAGACATTTTCGTGCAATACCAAGCATAAGGGGAAAGTACCAATGCCTGGACACGTGCCTAATTCTGGACATTCTTATTGCTTTAGTCTTTAAACTTTTAACATAAAAATATAGAAGCACGTAGAATATGTACATATATTGTATTAAATGTTCGTGTTTGGAAACCAAAATAATAAGAATGTCCAGGATTAATCACATTTCTGGGAACTGACGTTTTTATTTTATACTAATACGTGAGACTGTCTCAGATATCTCCAATATTAAAATTAAGAAATTTACAAGAAATGGACTCGCTTAGTTTGGTTCCTGTGAAGCTCGTACGTACATTTTACTGAAATGTTTTACAAAACCTGCAATTTTACTTTTTGCTTTGAAATTCAATTGAGTTTGAAACAAATTCACGGCATATTTTGAAAAGTTTCGCACAAGCGTGAACATTCGAGCGAGGCGTCAAGTGAGCTTGTCCTGACGGAGGTAGACGAGAAGTGTCCTGCTAATTAAATACAGCCTAGCGATCTGGTGTCACGCAGAACGATCTTACCCGAACCATGACTCAGGTTAATGGTACAGGTTTCACCATCACCGCTCGTTACGAGAACGATATAAAGGCACACGTAATGTGCGAGGTGAAGCCCGCCGGATTCGTAATGTCGTTACGCGTACACGGCGAGTTCGCGTAAGGTCGTGAAACTGGTCCCGCTTGCGACACTTACAAAGCAACCCCGAAGAAGCGGTGGTGCCGCGGATCCGTAGAATTACGGTAGAACGCAATGATACCTGCAATACAGTCGAAGCACTCTCATGTTTCCGGTTGCTTGCAGAGGCCTTGGGTACCGGAAGCTCATCGTGGCACAGCGAAGACGGTGGGCCCAACTCGCGCCGCGGCGGCGAGACGCCGTCCTCATGCGCGACGCCGACATCGGCGAGTTTCCCGTCAGAACCCGAAGTGGACGCCGACGTCGGCGGCAACCCCGACGGCAACAACCCCGCCGCTCCTTACCCCTGCCAGTTTTGCGACAGGACGTTTCCTCGACTCAGCTACTTAAAGAAACACGAACAGGTGAGAATACCAACAGACGTTTATGTAATTTAACAGATTTACAGATTGCACATCTATTGATAGAAAGTAAATATTTTAAATGATTAAGGATGCAACAGATTAATGGATCACAGAATGTGACAACCGAAAATCTCATTTAAAATATATAACAGTCTCTGCTTAGAGGTTTATCATTTATTTAGATATCGTGCTCGAATCCCGTGGTTCGCGAAAACCAGAAATAACTAGCGGAAATTTAATTTTTTCTAGAAAAAAAGAGAACCCATCGAAAAAGGACGTTGTGCATAAATAAATGTTCATGTGCCCTACACTGCAAATAACTGTACAAGAAAAACATTTTATAAGCAATGACCGCATAAAAATGATCGTAACATCGAGTGTCTCGCGTCGATTTGCAATAGCAATTGCGAGATATGAGATCACTCGGAGTATGAGAGAAGAGAAAAGCCGCGAAACCTAAAGGATTCATTCGTCACGGACATTAGTATGCACGACACGCAGCGTGTCGTAGAGCTCTCCTCTCTTCGCGCGGTGTGAGAAAAGGTCCGAGGTGTGATTCTGCAGGTTGACGAGTCCCGTACAGGCGGGTTAACGCGTTTCCTTCTCGCGAATGTCCTGCGAGCGGCGCGTCCTACCTGCCTGGAGGGTAGACGCGTGGCCGGTCTCTCCTCGGATTTTTCTGTTTTGCATGGCGGTGGCATTAGCTTGTTTCTTCCGCGTCCGAGGCCGGCGATGCCGACGGGTCATCATCAGGTCAGAATCTGTAGCGTCGTGCCCATAACAGGTTGTACCGGTTATCAGGTTATTCGTCCAGGTGGCGGCTGCCTTCGGCTCCTCGCTTCTTCCTCGCGACCGGAGCCCGCTGAATATACGTACGCGAGCGGAATCGCGCGCAGATATGACTCCGATAATGAAGACGCAAAAGTCCTCGTCTAGACCAGCCAGTTGCCTACTTATGCCGATGCGCAACGCCGGCTCGTCCGACGAGAGAAGACGTGGCGAGCAATTTCGATCCTTGCTGGCTGGCCATATTTAGTATGCGTCAACATCGGCAGTCTCGAAACTTCAAAATTAATCAAGATGTCAAACTGACCGTCATGAGACCGCGAAAGATGGTCTTAAAACTCGATGAAATTATTTACCAACTTAATTATTTGCCACCTGAGATAATTCATGATATCGAGAACACTGCAATATTTAGATGCGGAATCTAATCCCGATTCTTAATCCCGAAGCTTTGATTCAAATTCCAATGCCTCCTGTAATCTGAGACAACGAGGTTGCGCTACATACATATTGTATTCCATATCGTTGGAGCCGCATTTTGTTCAGAACGCTGGGTACACTTGGTCGCTATCGGTGACCTGTTCAGCATCGGGGACGGTGTGGTCCTCTTCCTCCACTACTCTCTTCTTCTTCCACCTACTCGTCCGAGCGACAGACCAGGCGATCACTTCGCCCATCGTACAGATTGTCTCTTCAAAGGCGCCGACAGCTCGAAAGTCGACCGCTCGGTCTCTTCGTACGTGCCGAGCTTACCTTGTCGCACGGCACCGTTTCGTGGCCGGCCGCGGAGCTCTTTACGCGCAACGAAGTGCGGCACAAAGAAGGTGACCGTATGGGATCATATCGGTCACCGTGATCTGGGTGGGTGACGCGTCCTCGCCTAAGAGATAGAGAAAGAGAGAGAACCGCCGACAGTACTTCTTCTTCTTCTTCTTGCTATGAGCTTCTTCTTCCAGCTTCTTCCAGAGTCCACAAACCAGGCTCCGCGTTAACTCACGTAGCGTTCTATTGAGACGTTAAGCCGGCGAACCGACGGTTGAATCGCGTCGTGTACTCTTCTGGGGTTTAAACGCGTAGTTGCCGGCGGAATGCTCGAGATGCACGTAGATGATTTTTATGGACTCAGTTCTGTGTAAATTGAAGCTAATAGCGTTAAAATCATCGAGGCGTTAGTGTAATATTTTTATGTGTATTGAGAGTGATGAAAGCTCAAATTCGGTATTCTCATAACTCTATAACTTTATTTTTTTTTATAATCTTCTGCTATTGGAAAAAATATTCAATGCATTATTTAATAAAATGATACCCAACCATAAAAGTATCGGCTTTGAACCATTCGCACAAATCTCTATGAATTTATCGAATAATATCGTTGACTTTATCTATTGTTATTTTTTCATTTTTGATTGATTGGATGATATTGTAATCGCGTAGGCGTTGATATCGTTTCACAAAAGTGAACACGATCACATTGATTGCAGAGCCACGGCGATCAGATGCCGTACCGATGCAGTTGGTGCGCCAGACTGTTCAAGCACAAGCGCAGCCGAGATCGTCACGTGAAGCTGCACACTGGGGACAGGCGATATCGTTGCTCGCATTGTGAGGCTGCTTTCTCCAGAAGGTAAGCGCGTGGAATCTTATCAATGCTAGTCCTGCGACACCTTATCGTAGGCATGTAATCCGATATGCCTTTTGCCCCTTATCGATCAGCCAAATGTGCGAAACGGTGGCTCGCATCGTAAGTTGCGCGAAACCTTAGCAGTCATCCTTGCAAGCACAATCCCGTTACTTTCTTCCACATTTATCGATGAGAAATCGATCTACGAATTATCGTGAAGCACGTACGATTCGTGTAGCAAACGTTCGATGTCCACTAATTTACTTGAGGGTGGACAGTTTTAAATCGGGAGTATATGAATCACGTGTTCAAGCTAAAACAGACGCATTTCAAGAAATCATTCGCAAAACATATAATCGCGAAACATATTGCACGTTAAATAAAAAATGACAACGAAAAAATGTAATTTTTCAGTATAGTAAAAGGACTGATAAGATCTCATTAAAATTAATTATCGACATTGATCATAAATTAAAACACACGGCAAGTATTGAAAATAAAAATATGTCATTTTTCCTTGTTAAAAAGAGAAACGTAACTTTCTGCATCTTTTTTATGATATTAATTCAAAATTACGAATTTTTAGTTGCTGAATTTTATTGTTATAATTTATGTACTTTGTATCTGAAATCATTGAAGTATCTGAAAACACTAAATACGCGAAAACCATCGCTCGTACACTTCATTCGAAAGCTTTCCTTAAAACTGACCTACGCGACTGCATCGCAGAAGGCAGTGAGACGTGGCGTTAAAGAGAAAAGAAATTCAGAGTTTATCGTCTCCCTGAACGCGCGAGCGGTAACTGCGCTTGTAAGAGCGAACGACGAACGTGTTAATAAGGCTTATCAATCGAGACGCGCGAGAGAAACAATCGCGCCGAGGCGATCGTAAACGCAACAGATGGCCGAACAGGGCCCTCGACGGGGGCGCTGCCGGTTGTAGCTCGGCGCGAGGCCCGACGGGGTCCCTCGACCGATTCCAGAGGACCCCGATCCAACGGGTGACAAATGAGTAATGATCACACGACGACCACGGCCCCGGGTGGCATTAGTCAAGCTTACTCTCTTACGTGGCTGTTTCTTTCTCTACCTCTTCCTCACCCGCCCGCCCACTCATCCTTCTCTCTCTCTCTTCGACTATCTATTTGTTTCCCCCTTTCTCACGCAGTACCGTGCTCAGCATTGAGTCGTCTCGCGCATTGAAATGCTAAGCTGGCCCGAGCAAGAGCTCCGCGCGAGGCACCTTTTTCGTGTCTAACTGGAGATACACGCGTGTGCGCCCACGTAAGCGTACGCGTGTACGTGTGCAGGCCCCCGCGGGGTCCAGGTGAGCGGACAGGTAGGACGCATAGGTGTTACAGGACAACAGGTAGAACATTAGTCAAGCGCCTCGTTGCCGCTCGTCCGCCTTTGCCGACCGTTAAAGTCGCGTTTGCGACCGCGCGTCCATGCCAAAACCGCAATCAGACTGCCACACGTGTCCGAGTAATTTTGACATCGTCTGGGTTCGTGTCTTTGTCAGTATCTTTTTTGCAAAAGAAACTCTGGAGTCTTTTGAGAAGTTTGAATTTTAAATTAAAGAATGAGAATCGCACGATACATAAATTGTTATCTCCTCAGAATAAAACTGAAGGGAAGAACGAGATTTTGCTCACCTGCTATTTTTTAAATTTTATATTACGTTTTTATAATTAAAATGATGAATGTTATGATAAATAATTGCTTTCTGATGTAATTTTGAATTTTATAGTATCCTTTTCCTCTCTTTCAAAGTTTTATTTATTTTTTATTTATTACCAAATAGAGAAAATAAGAGGAAAGTAGTTTAACAGTATTAACTGTAATGAGAAAGTGTACTTTGTCGGGGTATAACTTCGAAGAGTCCAAGTTTGCGGAAGTCCTAACAAAGACTTTCTCCTCACCTGTCAGCCACTATTACAATCGTACCGCCAGATCTTTACGCCACGTCTCTATTCGTCCTCTCACTTTAACAGTCGGTTTGGGTGACCAAACAAAAGGGTGAAAATCTCCGTGGTTCTCACATTGTGAGTGTGAATTTTCTAGCCCTTGGCCAAACGTTTCACTTAAAGCTGTGACGGTATCCGTGCAGTTGCATATTAAAGAAAATCTTAGATGGTGTGGAAAATACTAACACGCAAGGTAAAGATATTGACAACCTACTAGGTTAGAATTTATATCTGGTTGAGTAATATGTCAGACAATAATTTAAAATTTTCTCTTTAAAAATAGATCACGACGAGATCTCAAATAACTTTTTAAAATATCTTGGAAAGAAAATTAATATATTTGCTTTAAGATCACATTATATGAAATTGATATTCCTAACTTGATGTCCATTTAGCTTGAGCGGAACCAATCGGAAGAATTCTCTATTTTAATAGTAACACCTCGTCACGGCTATGTTTTTCTCCTCAATGGAATGCGGTAGCTAGATCGTATTTTACTGAGTATTGTAGTTATCGACATAGTCCATCGACAATTTGCGAAGTCACGACTCGACTTCTTAATATTGTCAACAATCCCTCGCCTTTTTGTGTTATTCTAGTTGGCATTTCTTATATTAGTTTGTACTAATCTGGTTTAGATCGACAGAGACAATGTTTGTTTTAAAGAGATGAAACTTATTGTTACACAATTAAAAACCAAATATTGATACAAGGGATAATCTTTTTTTATTAAGTAAATTATATTAATAAAAAATTAGAGTCTCTGTGACGAAGTAAATAGGAGGTCGCAGAATCTAAATGCATAAATGACTGAGAATATATAGAAACAAAATATCAGGTCACTTTTTGCCAAGAGCAAGCGACTCTGCATATTCGCAGTTCCATGAATAAATGAAATCTTCAAGATTGACGAGACACGATTGCAGGGATCGAGCACGTCAACGCACCCACCCAAATTACCGCGATAGGATTTCTTCCGACTTTCAAGGGTGGAGTTTAACGGACCATTTATTTCCATTTCCTTTCATCACCCTAAACGCGCTCTCTTCTGGCGTAATGGCAACTCGCCATTTCGAACTCCACTTTTGGCAAACATTGGACAGAATTCGTTATGAGAACTTTTAGATGCATGAATCAATACATATAGGACTATTTCGAGACTGTGACTATTTTGAGATGTACTTCGTTGATGACAAGTGCCGACAGCTTTAAAAGTAACGTATCTTTTGTGAATTAATATTTGGAGCTTCAGATCGATATTGAGGCGCTAATCTTGTAAGGCAACTCTAAAATAGACGTGTCACGGCATATAGAACATTGATTATTATAAACTGCCTCAATTATTTAAGACGAAAATAAAATTACAGATTTGTACTTGCCACAATTAAAGTGAAATGCATCAATCCTTAGTACGCACAATCCTTAATGGCTCGAGAAAGGAAAGAAACACGAAAACGACTCAGGCCTGTATTAACAGGCATTACTTGAAATTTGTCCTACGTGAAGTACTCAGATATAAATTTAGGATCAGATTTGAATTTTCTGCTTAAATCACACGATATGTGCGACGTTACATTTACAATCACAATTTAGCTGAAAGATTCACACCTAACTCTAAAACCTAACTCTGAGTGTCTCATTAGAGCAAGTTTCAAGTAACGACTATTAATACGGTTCTCAGAGACGCGACTACTTAAGGAAGCCATGACCTCGCGGTCATCTCTTATTGTCATCGAAGCTGAGACAACGTTGGTAACGCTACGACAGTAGCGTCAAAACAGGAATATGCAGTCGTCGCGAGTAGTATTAATACCGGCTTGACCGGCGTACTCGTCGATCCATTCTCTTCGTTAAACGAGCGCGAAGTGCGCGCACAGCATTCGCTTTTGAAACTCGTCCTTTTTTTACTTTTTCGTCGCCGGCCGGTCGCGAACGATACGCTCGATAATAGGACAGCCGCGGTTCACCGGGCGATAATCCTGGCGCATGAATAATTCAGGCGCAAAGTGCAGGAGTAAATTCGCCGTCTGTCTTCGTTTCGGCGTGCGAGCCGAGACAGCAACGCCGGCCGTTCTTCTTGCTCGCTCGGACCGCGGCTGACCTCACCTTACACGCGGATTCAGTTTTCCGCCACCTCGGTGGACCAACACCGACGACGATGAATTATTCATCCGGGTCCACCGCGAGGATCTCGCCATCGAGTCGTTATCCGGCCTCGACCTGTCCGAAATCTCTGTACCCGTCTCGCTGATAGTCGACGAACGCATCGGCTTCGTTTATCGATACCACGCAACGTGAGCGAGACGACGAGAAAAAATTAACGAAGACGGAAAATTTCAACTAAACGCGGAAGATTAGCGCGGAAATCTGGAACGACTTGTAATCTCTCCGTGGTGGTCTCTTTGCGTCAATAGAAGAATACATATTCGTCCTTCAGAGCGTATGAGACGATCGTGACGAGAATATCTCGCGAATTTGAGACCTGTCAGTTTTATTAGATTTTGTTGTTGATTGAAGTCAACTTTTGCATCAAAGACGATGAATAATTTCCCGCCTCGTAAGTTGCGAGGGTGAAGCGAGCATCCGGTTTGGCCGAATTAACTTTAATCACTAGTTCGGTATTGTTGATCAACGGTAACGCGATTGTCTGGCGAAGTGAAGAATTCGAGTCTAATGAAATTATTTATGAGACGATACGAGCAGTTTTCTCGGCTTAAACATAGGAAAATCAATATCGTTGAACATTTGCACGTACACCGACATAGCGTCCTTTAAATGAAAGTGGATATAGCGATAATGCGCGCATCGTGCGAAGAATTTTAACTAGATTTCTCTCTTTTCGATGAGAGTTATTTATTTATTCCCTGTACGGTTAAAATGTCATCGTGCTTAACGTGGTCATATCAACGCGCGATGTCCCTCTGACCTAAGTAATACATCCAGCACTCCATTAGGAGGACACTTTATTAGCACCCGAGGAAGATATTTTCAAGCAGGTTTTGGCGAGGGCGAACTCTCGCCGTCCGTCTTCATTAGCTTTTCCACGTTGCGCTCTTAATTGAGCCGCCACCGTTTAATTCTTCGCTTGGTTGGACTTGTCGATCTTTTTAACCAAAAATCCGATCCGCGACGTTGGTTAGCTCTCGCGAAGTATCTCGTGAAATTGATCCGAAGTTAACGAATCGGCGATAAATTAGCCGATCATGAAACTACGTTTATTATTAAAGAGCGCGGCACCCGATACCACTTTTCGCGAACAAACTTCCGCGCTGGAAATCGAAATATATCTACTTTCTCGAGAAGCGAATCTATTTCTAATTATGATTGACGTCGCGGCTTCTGATGAAGCGTGAATATACATGGATTCATTACGTATTACAGAAAATAGAATTTCCTGAATTAGATTCGATTCGTGCAACGAGAAATAATATAAGCGTTTTAAATGTCGGGCCAGCGCTGAAGATTATCCTACATAATGATTATACTTTCAGACGTATGGACGTTAATGTCGAATTAATTTAACTTCAAAATAGTCACCATTAATTATTAAATGTCGTACTTGTTTCATTCATAAATTGAAGTTAAATTTTATCCGTCAAATGAACGATCAAATAATGCTTTTAGTTTATACGATTTTTTCGTTAATCGAACATTTTCATTACGTAGCTGTTTTGCCAAACAGTAAATATGTCTCGAAGTATTTTTATCTTTACATTAAATTATCCGAATTTTTACTCTACATCGTTAGTGCCGTCATTAATTTAACTTCCTGTTTTGACACATCCACACTTATATTATCAATTTAATCGCGATTAAATCGCAAGCATAGCTTGATCACATCTTTGCTGTCATGAGCCTCCAAATATATTTTCTGTTTTCCAGCGATCACCTGAAGATCCACATGAAGACGCACGACACGCAGAAGCCTTATCAGTGCACAGCATGCTCGAGAGGCTACAACACAGCTGCGGCGTTAACGTCGCATATGCAGTCTCACAAGAAGCATCATCAATCGTCATCTCAGTCAACCGGCAAGCTTCACGACGTCGATTACGGCAGGCGAAGCGTCTCCTCTCACAGCACGTCATCGCCACCGGTACCGAGCTCGCCGTCACCGTCCCTGGCTCTCGGTCTAAATCCGAGAAACGCTCTAAAAACTTCTCAAGGCACCTGCAGCGCGTCCACCACGCCCGTTCTAAGCTCTCCCTTGAAATTAACCTGCATGTACTGCACCAAAGATTCGTTCAGTTGCATGCAACAGTTGCAGATGCACGTTCACTCGATGCACCAAGCGATTCTAAGCGGTGAGAGTTTGACTGTACCGCCATCGCCTAGCGGGACGAGCGAGCAGATTGCTCCTAGCTCGCGCGACAAACCGTTGGATCGTCAGGACGGCTCGTCATCGAAGGACTCGCGCGATCGGAAATATCCCGAGGACCGCGAGAGACCCGGCGAGAGGGACCACTACGAGAACGCGTTCACATGCAATCAGTGCACCATGAAATTCTCGACGCTGGGTTGCCTGCGCGATCACTTGCTGTCGATACACCGGCTCAGCGCATTCGGCGCGGCGATGATGATGTGTCCATTGTGCGGCATCCCATGTTCATCCGCAGCCTCCTACGCCGAGCACTACGTTCTTCAGCACTGCGAGAATCGCCGGATCGCGCCGACACCCGCGACAGAGTACGGAGAACCGAAGGTGAATGGTGTCTACGATGGTGTCGCTAGAGATTCGAGATTGCAGAGGAGCAGAGACGTGCCAGAAGCGGCAGATCTTACGAACAAACACGCCACCAGACCCACCGACTCCAGTGGCAGTGGTGTCGGCTACACCGCTGGTACCCTTCTGTGCGGTCAATGCGGCGCCGCTTTGAAAGATTTCGAGTCCTTTCGAGAACACTTAGCACGACACCTGCAAGCTGATCATCGTAACGAAGTGTCTAGGCACCCATGTCCTAAGTGCGAAGCAACCTTTCCCGACCGCGAAGACATGTTAAACCATCTAATTAAGCACTATTTAGGTCAGGTCAGTAAGGAGTACGCCTGCGGTGCTTGCAAAAAACTTTACCCGCATCCCGACCTTCTTCAAAGGCACCTGCTAGATAGCCACGCGCATCATTTGTACCGTTGCGCTTTATGTCGAGACACGTTCGACTCTCGGGTGGCAATCCAGGTGCATTTCGCGGTGAAGCATAGTCAAGAGTGTCGAATCTATCGATGCAGCGCGTGCACCTTATCTAATAATGAAAACTCGCCGGGAAACGCACCTGGCGAGGGCAGAAGTTTCTTCAGGAGTGAGGCTGAGATGGCGGCGCACGTTCGCAGTATGCACGCGCCACCCGCAGCCTTGATGAACAGTAGCCCGGGGTTGGCGAGGAGTCCCGCTTCAACGCCGGGTATCACCAGCAATGCCGCGGCACGTTGCGTCTTTTGTGGCATCTGCTGCAACTCGGAACTCGAGCTGCAGCTTCACCTGGCCAGCCACTCTGCTAGTCTCTACAGGTGTCCTATTTGCAAGGAGGGATTTGCGGTGGAATTCCTGTTGGACAGACACGTCGCTCAGGCGCACGCGGGGGACCACCAGGCGTCCGTCAGGAGCAGCTCAAGGGAGAACGGCCGAGTTCATCGACCGGTTAGAAGTCAGGATGAGGTAAATAAAGTTTCCGGATTGTAATTCGAGGATCAAGATGAAAAAAATTAATTGGTGACTATGTATAGTCGCTAATACATAGACTGAGAAAATAATAATTAAATATTAGTAGACAAATTTTGTTAGACAAAATCAAAAATAAAAAAGAACTAATAAGAGTTCAAGTACAGAAGTTTTAGTGCTATAAAACCTAAGGAAATAGATGAAAGTTCCCTATATTGAGAAACCAAGTAATTTATTGAACACTAAAAGTATAAAACATCAAATGTTTCGATCCATTCATGGACCCTTTTTAGCGTAACATGCAATTTTAAACAATACAGTATCAAGGATTTAACAAGACCTTAAGATTGTTCGCAACCGAGACTGGGAGGAAAGAATTGCAAGACAAAAAAATATGGAAAACAGTGTTAAATCCTGTCTGTGTCGAAACATACCTTCACCGTCCGTAACAATAGAAATTATTCGCAGAAGCACTTAGTAGGGTGCAGCAATCATATTGTTTAACCAAAAACATAAAATTTACGTAAAATTTAAATTAAAAGATAAAGCCGAATAACCGTTAGCAAGTTATCTTGAACATAGTGTAGAGGCCAAACTTCAAGGCAAAAACAATATTGTCGCAGATAATTCTCCAAGCTCGGCATTAGTACAAATAAACTGTTTATATACATACATATCGAGATATACAACGCTGAACGAGCAAGAGAAGGAGACAAATCGAACTTCATCCAAATAATTTACAATAACCGTTGCCCAAATATTCTGTGTCTTTTTGCGAATTAAGTCTTTGTTTTTGTAATTTAATAAAAATAATTTCGGCAACAAGTCGTTTTAAATAAAAGCTTATTAGACAAATTGCAATCAAATCAAATTGAATAAAAATTCTGGTGAAAAATCTAACGTAAGAACTAAAAAATATTAATCAATAGATTAAAAAACTAATAAAACTAAAATATATATGTGATATAGAAGTTCTTTCAAATACCAATAAATTGATATAATTGCTACAAATAATTTTATATTCGATTGGAAGGTTAAATAAAAATCAAATGATAAATATGACCGATAATATCTTCATTAAATTAAATTTCGAACTTATTTTATGCAAACAAAAGATTGAAAGAACATGAAAATTTAATTACAATTAATTTAATTTAAAAAAATTTTTTTTGAGAACCGTGCGATTCTTGTAAACTTAAACAATGAGGATTCCAATTATATACGTTTTATATCATCCTTAAATAATATTATTTGCACGAAACAATTAACTTCCGCAAATTCCAGCCGAAATCCCTAAAAAGAGGTCGTTCACCAGCGTCGAGCAACAATAACTCTCTGAACCAACGCGACAACAACAACAAGAGACCGAACTTTGGCACTTCCGGTGGTCAACAGTGTGAACTCTGCGAGCGTGGTGAGTTCGCGAACGAGGCCGAGCTACAGGCGCATAAGAAACTAGTTCACACACCCTCGAAGTTGTCCAACAAGGGCTTACCCGCCCTAAGTATGACCTGCGCGTACTGCGGCGAGGTTTGTCGTTCGCGTAGCGAGCTAGAATCACATACCAGGATCCAGCACGCGTCCAACGAGCCCGGCGGACGTCACAAGTGCAACATCTGCGACGAAGTGTGTCCGTCCGGGGCGACTTTAGCCGAGCACAAGCTCCAAAAGCACTGCAAAATTCAGCTGAGCGATACCTGCGTCGTGTGTCGCGGTTGTCTCGCTTCAGAAAGCCAGTTCCTAGAGCATGTGCAAAGGCACAGCCTGGAAAACGTAGATCCGCAGCAACGACTAGATAACTCGCTGCCTCACCTGCCGGCGCCGTGCGTGGTCTGTCGGCAGACTCTGATCAGCGACTTGGAATGTCGTTTACACGCCAGGCACCACCTGAGAACGTCGTCAGGATCGCGCAGCGATGGCTCCAGTCCGGCGAGTCCTGCTGCCAAGATCCAAAGCCCAGGCTGCTGTCTCTGCCTGCGGGATTTTGCGGCAGACGATTTCGTCAGCTTGCCACCTAATCATGCCAGCGCGGGTGGACAACCACTCAGGGTCTGCAAATCCTGTTACGTGAGACACTCTCAAGGACTTCCTATACTGAATTCCACATATGAGCAACGAGCCAAATACGAAGCGGCATGGCTCGCGAGCAAAGATGCTCAGTGGGACAGTTCCAAGGACAAGTGGGAGAACGACAGGGGACTTAAAGCGGAAAATAGACCTAGGAAAGAAGGAAATGCGGATAATAAACGCTGCGAAGAATGCGGAGTCAAATTCGAAGATTCTGAGGAGGCGGAGAAACACAGGATAACCGAGCACGAGAAGGCAAGTGACAATGATGACTCGAAATATCTCTTTCTATAGTAACAAAGGACCCCGCACAAACCTTATGGAAATTGAATTTCGGTCGAATTGGCTGAATATTTGATATGTTGTAAATTTTGTCGTCCTGACAAAAAGTCTCCACAGGTACGATCCCCTGCAATGAACCGTTTGACCTCTACGAGGCGTCATTTTTAAAAACAGTCTAATACTACAATATCTTATTTTCAACGGGTACGGTGCATTCCTACATCATTATTTGTACTTTCTATATATTTTTTTAAGTAAAAAGTTATAAGGATAAAAAGGAAAATTATATTGACTTGATTGCTTCTAAAAGTCAGAGTGCTTGATTATTGTGAGTACCCTCGCCTCTCATTAATCGGGGTGCTTGATTATTGTGAGTCCCCTCGCCTCTCACAACGCACGGCTTACTCAATATAAATAAAGCGGTTCTTTGCATGCACCCTATGATTGTGTCCATTTCTTTTCCCGCCCTAGACATGAATCAACACAGCATTGACTTAAATCTCTAAAATCAAGTTATTGACCTCGATATCTTTATAACTTTTTTGTAAGAAGCAATAAAGTCAATAATATCCTTATAACTTTTTACTTAAAAAAGTGCATAGAAAATACAAATAATGATGTAGGAATGCACCGTACCCGTTGAAAA